TCATAAATACAACTTTTGCAAATATGGCTTTGTTTAAACACTTCTAGGACATATATTAACTAACTTATGTTAGATATATGGTTAGGGATGATACTGTTGTGACAAGAATTCTAAACTGACCATTTGAGGCAGAAATTGTGAACTTTCATTGACAAATAGGCATACAGTAAGATGTGGACTGGAGACACAGGCAGGATTGGATACTTTGTGTAATCTTGAATGTTGGAATGCTTAACTACTAAACAATACATTTATAGTATTCTAAAATGCTTTCAATTTGTTATCAGAATAGTTTCAAACAGGTTTTAGACAGTTCATGTCAGAAAACATGCACATAGGGTAAGCTGGCAATAATTAGAGTCTTGTTTTCAAAATCTTAAAAAAATTGAAACAGGGGTAGGGGTATAAAATGTACTGTAAAAGGAGACTTAGAGTATATGCAGTGATTTCTTTAAGGCTATAATTCTGATAAATAAGTATTGTTGTGAGAAAAAGTGTTTTTAGAGAGTTTTCTATTTGAATAAATGTTTGTATATAGGGTTAAAAAATAGAACATACAGAATTTCACAAAATCTGGTTTATCTCAGAGATTTTAAAGAATTTAACTCAAATATGAAGTTTTATAAATATTTCATGAAGATTGAGAAAATCCTGGGCCTTAACTATGATGACTCAGCATAAATTCACAGTTTACAGTATGCATGGTTTACTTAAAGCCCTGAATTCAAAATAAATTCATAATATATGCCTATTTGTAATTTAAATTGTTTAGAAGTGCTTATATTTACTCTTTGCAGTAATTGCAACTCATTGATCCTTCCTAAATATTTCTGGTGGGGTGTTTTTGTCCTGTCGATAACCCAAAAGTAAGCCGTAACGCCTAAATGTGCTTTTTTGTGACTGCGGCATAAAAAAGTACAAGCTAGAATTACAAAAAGACCTCAGTAAAACTTACAATAGTGTGTTCTATCCTAAATATGTAGTAAATATTCCACATTGCTAGAAACAGGGGAAAAAATTAGGAAATGTGAGGCCCCAGGGGCAAAACACAGAGAAAAATGCCTACCCCTGAGTCATAAAACAGATAATTTAACTTGTAAATGCTATGATTTTTTTATTTTAAAGGTCTTTTATAAAGTAAACAATAACTGTGCTAGGAAGTTATGCAAAAATCAGATGTAAGCAGTCATTTCAATCAAACTTTTAGTGAATTTATGCACCAGACTGATATCTTCATAAATACAACTTTTGCAAATATGGCTTTGTTTAAACACTTCTAGGACATATATTAACTAACTTATGTTAGATATATGGTTAGGGATGATACTGTTGTGACAAGAATTCTAAACTGACCATTTGAGGCAGAAATTGTGAACTTTCATTGACAAATAGGCATACAGTAAGATGTGGACTGGAGACACAGGCAGGATTGGATACTTTGTGTAATCTTGAATGTTGGAATGCTTAACTACTAAACAATACATTTATAGTATTCTAAAATGCTTTCAATTTGTTATCAGAATAGTTTCAAACAGGTTTTAGACAGTTCATGTCAGAAAACATGCACATAGGGTAAGCTGGCAATAATTAGAGTCTTGTTTTCAAAATCTTAAAAAAATTGAAACAGGGGTAGGGGTATAAAATGTACTGTAAAAGGAGACTTAGAGTATATGCAGTGATTTCTTTAAGGCTATAATTCTGATAAATAAGTATTGTTGTGAGAAAAAGTGTTTTTAGAGAGTTTTCTATTTGAATAAATGTTTGTATATAGGGTTAAAAAATAGAACATACAGAATTTCACAAAATCTGGTTTATCTCAGAGATTTTAAAGAATTTAACTCAAATATGAAGTTTTATAAATATTTCATGAAGATTGAGAAAATCCTGGGCCTTAACTATGATGACTCAGCATAAATTCACAGTTTACAGTATGCATGGTTAACTTAAAGCCCTGAATTCAAAATAAATTCATAATATATGCCTATTTGTAATTTAAATTGTTTAGAAGTGCTTATATTTACTCTTTGCAGTAATTGCAACTCATTGATCCTTCCTAAATATTTCTGGTGGGGTGTTTTTGTCCTGTCGATAACCCAAAAGTAAGCCGTAACGCCTAAATGTGCTTTTTTGTGACTGCGGCATAAAAAAGTACAAGCTAGAATTACAAAATGACCTCAGTAAAACTTACAATAGTGTGTTCTATCCTAAATATGTAGTAAATATTCCACATTGCTAGAAACAGGGGAAAAAATTAGGAAATGTGAGGCCCCAGGGGCAAAACACAGAGAAAAATGCCTACCCCTGAGTCATAAAACAGATAATTTAACTTGTAAATGCTATGATTTTTTTATTTTAAAGGTCTTTTATAAAGTAAACAATAACTGTGCTAGGAAGTTATGCAAAAATCAGATGTAAGCAGTCATTTCAATCAAACTTTTAGTGAATTTATGCACCAGACTGATATCTTCATAAATACAACTTTTGCAAATATGGCTTTGTTTAAACACTTCTAGGACATATATTAACTAACTTATGTTAGATATATGGTTAGGGATGATACTGTTGTGACAAGAATTCTAAACTGACCATTTGAGGCAGAAATTGTGAACTTTCATTGACAAATAGGCATACAGTAAGATGTGGACTGGAGACACAGGCAGGATTGGATACTTTGTGTAATCTTGAATGTTGGAATGCTTAACTACTAAACAATACATTTATAGTATTCTAAAATGCTTTCAATTTGTTATCAGAATAGTTTCAAACAGGTTTTAGACAGTTCATGTCAGAAAACATGCACATAGGGTAAGCTGGCAATAATTAGAGTCTTGTTTTCAAAATCTTAAAAAAATTGAAACAGGGGTAGGGGTATAAAATGTACTGTAAAAGGAGACTTAGAGTATATGCAGTGATTTCTTTAAGGCTATAATTCTGATAAATAAGTATTGTTGTGAGAAAAAGTGTTTTTAGAGAGTTTTCTATTTGAATAAATGTTTGTATATAGGGTTAAAAAATAGAACATACAGAATTTCACAAAATCTGGTTTATCTCAGAGATTTTAAAGAATTTAACTCAAATATGAAGTTTTATAAATATTTCATGAAGATTGAGAAAATCCTGGGCCTTAACTATGATGACTCAGCATAAATTCACAGTTTACAGTATGCATGGTTTACTTAAAGCCCTGAATTCAAAATAAATTCATAATATATGCCTATTTGTAATTTAAATTGTTTAGAAGTGCTTATATTTACTCTTTGCAGTAATTGCAACTCATTGATCCTTCCTAAATATTTCTGGTGGGGTGTTTTTGTCCTGTCGATAACCCAAAAGTAAGCCGTAACGCCTAAATGTGCTTTTTTGTGACTGCGGCATAAAAAAGTACAAGCTAGAATAACAAAAAGACCTCAGTAAAACTTACAATAGTGTGTTCTATCCTAAATATGTAGTAAATATTCCACATTGCTAGAAACAGGGGAAAAAATTAGGAAATGTGAGGCCCCAGGGGCAAAACACAGAGAAAAATGCCTACCCCTGAGTCATAAAACAGATAATTTAACTTGTAAATGCTATGATTTTTTTATTTTAAAGGTCTTTTATAAAGTAAACAATAACTGTGCTAGGAAGTTATGCAAAAATCAGATGTAAGCAGTCATTTCAATCAAACTTTTAGTGAATTTATGCACCAGACTGATATCTTCATAAATACAACTTTTGCAAATATGGCTTTGTTTAAACACTTCTAGGACATATATTAACTAACTTATGTTAGATATATGGTTAGGGATGATACTGTTGTGACAAGAATTCTAAACTGACCATTTGAGGCAGAAATTGTGAACTTTCATTGACAAATAGGCATACAGTAAGATGTGGACTGGAGACACAGGCAGGATTGGATACTTTGTATAATCTTGAATGTTGGAATGCTTAACTACTAAACAATACATTTATAGTATTCTAAAATGCTTTCAATTTGTTATCAGAATAGTTTCAAACAGGTTTTAGACAGTTCATGTCAGAAAACATGCACATAGGGTAAGCTGGCAATAATTAGAGTCTTGTTTTCAAAATCTTAAAAAAATTGAAACAGGGGTAGGGGTATAAAATGTACTGTAAAAGGAGACTTAGAGTATATGCAGTGATTTCTTTAAGGCTATAATTCTGATAAATAAGTATTGTTGTGAGAAAAAGTGTTTTTAGAGAGTTTTCTATTTGAATAAATGTTTGTATAGGTTGCACTTTGTAAATACAGCTGTTTCTCAAACCACGCCTCTTTTGGGGAGATATTTAATATTCATAGGTATGTTAATTTGTTAACGTACTGGTTCCCATTGATGATCTCTGTGTTTCATCTCATAGAGACATCACTTGGGAATGTAACCAGTATAGAAAAACATGGTAGCGGCTAAATTTTAATTCTTAGGAGGTCCAAAAATGGAGGTAAGGGTAGTATAGAATTTTATTATAAGTTTAAACTCTTAGAAGTTCAGGGCATATAAATGTTGAAAATATGCCGCACAGCCCTATATTTTGACCTTTGAATAAAATAGTAGTGCATATAAACTTTCCGTTCTGGAATATTATTTTTCACGAAACTTCATAGTAAAAGTGTCACAGTTTTAGCCGCAAAGGGAGTTCCTATGGGAAATTGCATTGTCTGTATTTACAGAATTGCAACCTATAGTCGGTTTTTTAAAAATCGATTTGATAGTGAACCACTTCTTAAGACTGTAATCCTGATCTTCAAACTCCGAAACAGTGGTTACGTCGTCTCTGCTACGATACTTTGACTAAGCAAAGCAATGTTACCACTGTTTCGGAGTTTGCCGTAGATTGTTAAGAAAAACAGTATGTATTTTCTAGTGTTCATTCATTAATATTACTTTGAAACTGTCATGCAAAGTATCCCCGATTTAGATAATCCTAAAAGTTTAAATATTCGGTTTGTTTTAAGATAAGATTGCTTCAATACTAGTATGTTAATGTTTGTTGTCCAGCTGACAAGACAAATGACCAGTTCAAAAATGACATCGGAAAGACTTGTGGAACAACTAGGAATGGAAACCTCGTTTACAATTTCTGCTATAAAGAAAACAAGGCTGTGTGTGCAGACGTCAATGAAACAGGTGAGTCAGTTTTATCATAATATGAGGCAGGTGTTATCTGTGAAAAACGATTAAGTCCGCAACATTATAATTACAATGCATCCCAGCATATTTTCACTTCTGTTGAAACAGAAACGGAAATACGGAAACGTTTCCGATTTCGGTCCTGTATTTAGGGCTTTTTAATAAGTTATCAAGTTATAACGTCATTTTCAATTCAAACAAAGAAACGCTATCATCAGGTAACGGTTTTTTTCTTCATATTATTAAGATGTTATTCAAATAAAAATGTAATCATTTGACGAAGATTCAAAGTCGGCTTGTTATTCTTATCAGATACTGAAATCTGACTGATTGATTTGGTTTCCAAAGAGAACACATTTTGTTTGTTATAAAATCGTATGCAAAGTATTTCTGATTTAGATAGTCCTAAAGTGAGATCACCCCAGTTTTTGCTGGGGTTCGTGTTGCTCAGTCTTTAGTTTTCTATGTTGTGTTTTGTGTACTATTGTTTGTCTGTTGGTCTTTTTATTTTTAAGCCATGGCGTTGTCAATTTATTTTCAACTAATGAGTTTGAATGTCCCTTTGGTATCTTTCGCCTCTCCATTGAATAAGCTCTAGACTCATTTTAAAATGTTAGGAACTAATTTTAATTGTTTAACTGCTAATATTCTTTCTGTAATCAAAAACAAAAACAAATTGTGGGAATCAATATGATGCTCTTTTCTATATTTAACGCAACGTCCCGTGATAAATGAGACCGGAAGAGAAAAACAATACCGAAAAGGATTTCTCCGCAAATGCAGGAAACTGCTTAAAAAGTGCCCACATAATGATACATACATCATCTACATGAAAATACGAAATTTGTAAGATGCAAATCACTTTTTCTTGGTTAAGGATGTTCGCTTCTCTTTTTTAAAATAACAAGCTTTTTAAAAAAATGTTATACAATGATAGTATATAAATAAAAGAACTAAAAAAGAAAAGAAAAATGAAGGGTCCATGTGCTTGTTTTCGATATTTAAGTCATTGAAAATTTGGCGGGAAATGATTCTCTCTAGATTTTTCATATATTTAACATTGTCACCAGTTTCTTTCAAAAACTATGAAAAAATAACAAGGATCTTATCGGATTTCCAAATATGGCTTTTTAAACTATATGTAGTAATAATATGTAAAGAAAAGAGAGAGTTAGCGGGCAAATTGTTCTAATGGTACTACATGGATAAAACCAGAGGATTCAGAATATCTGACAAAAATTCAAAAACAAAAGAAGCGAACATCCTTAAGATACAATTTCTTACAGTATTGACTATTTGCGAATCTCTGGTAGTCGTTGTTCTATGTTGAAGTGAATTATTTTCCAATGATCTGCAAAAGGATGATTGTGTTCTTTCTTTGTAACGTCATCAGACATGGTCGCCTTTTTTTCGTGACATCGCAATAGAAAATTCAGAAGAAAGCAAGAAAATTTGACGTCAGAATTCAATTTTGACCAATGAAAAACTGAGATGATTAAACGAACCACACGTTGATCTAGTAAAAATAATCAACCGGTCAGGGAAAGAATAAATCGGCTAAGAATTAGAGAAATGCAAATCGCCAGGAAATTTATTTCTTTGATTCAAAGTTCAAGCGAAGTTATTTCATAAAAAAACAAATGTTTCTAAACAACTTAACATTACAAAAAGACACCGTTATACTATATTTCACACAGAACGTAACGAAAAATTAGGGTACAATATTCTATCATATTGAAATTGCATTAACACGTTTAGCTTCCAATTACTGACATCATAAGTGACAAAAATATATTTTAAATTTCGCTTTTCAATAAAAGGGTTATTGCATGCATAGTGGTGAATATCTTGCACTCGTCAAAAAACCTGGACAAATCAGTTATGTGTGGTATTAGCACTGTATTATTCTTTATACCATTACATCCAATCACAGCGCTCCAAAGTTCTTCATCTGCCTTGAGTACACAAAAGGACAAACCTAAAGCCGGGAAAATCTACTACTACTTTTTTCCCTATTATTATGTTTACCCGATATTGTTTTGATTTTGACTTTACACTACTTTCTGAGATCATGCATTTAAATGTTAATCAATTTCAATTAAAATGTGTATCCAATGAATGTAAAATATACAGTTATATTCTATGTTATATTTATATCCTGTTTTCTTTTCACCGATTGTCGAATGCGACTACTCACTTGATATAAGTAATAACACGGATGACACCAGTTGCATAAGAACTACTTTCGTTTTCGTTTCGATCACCTGAGTCCACCCCCGTTTTTTGTTGGGTTCGTGTTGCTCAGTCTACAGGTTTCCGTGTAGTGTTTTGTTGGGGTTCGTGTTGCTCAGTCTACAGGTTTCCGTGTAGTGTTTTGTTGGGGTTCGTGTTGCTCAGTCTACAGGTTTCCGTGTAGTGTTTTGTTGGGGTTCGTGTTGCTCAGTCTACAGGTTTCCGTGTAGTGTTTTGTTTATGTTGTTTGTCTTGTTTTTTGTTGGGTTCGTGTTGCTCAGTCTACAGGTTTCCGTGTAGTGTTTTGTTGGGATTCGTGTTGCTCAGTCTACAGGTTTTCGTGTAGTGTTTTGTTTATGTTGTTTGTCTTGTTTTTTGTTGGTGTTCGTGTTGCTCAGTCTACAGGTTTCCGTGTAGTGTTTTGTTTATGTTGTTTTCTTGTTTTTTGTTGGGTTCGTGTTGCTCAGTCTACAGGTTTCCGTGTAGTGTTTTGTTTAAGTTGTTTGTCTTGTTTTTTGTTGGTGTTCGTGTTGCTCAGTCTACAGGTTTCCGTGTAGTGTTTTGTTTATGTTGTTTGTCTTGTTTTTTGTTGGGTTCGTGTTGCTCAGTCTACAGGTTTCCGTGTAGTGTTTTGTTTATGTTGTTTGTCTTGTTTTTTGTTGGTGTTCGTGTTGCTCAGTCTACAGGTTTCCGTGTAGTGTTTTGTTGGGGTTCATGTGCTCAGTCTACAGGTTTCCGTGTAGTGTTTTGTTTATGTTGTTTGTCTTGTTTTTTGTTGGTGTTCGTGTTGCTCAGTCTACAGGTTTCCGTGTAGTGTTTTGTTTATGTTGTTTGTCTTGTTTTTTGATGGGGTTCGCGTTGCTCAGTCTACAGGTTTCCGTGTAGTGTTTTGTTGGGGTTCGTGTTGCTCAGTCTACAGGTTTCCGTGTAGTGTTTTGTTTATGTTGTTTGTCTTGTTTTTTGTTGGGTTCGTGTTGCTCAGTCTACAGGTTTCCGTGTAGTGTTTTGTTTATGTTGTTTGTCTTGTTTTTTGTTGGGTTCGTGTTGCTCAGTCTATAGGTTTCCTTGTAGTGTTTTGTTTATGTTGTTTGTCTTGTTTTTTGTTGGGGTTCGTGTTGCTCAGTCTACAGGTTTCCGTGTAGTGGTTGGGGTTCGTGTTGCTCAGTCTACAGGTTTCCATGTAGTGGTTGGGGTTCGTGTTGCTCAGTCTACAGGTTTCCGTGTAGTTTTTTGTTAATGTTGTTTGTCTTGTTTTTTGTTGGTGTTCGTGTTGCTCAGTCTACAGGTTTCCGTGTAGTGTTTTGTTTATGTTGTTTGTCTTTTTTTTTGTTGGGGTTCGTGTTGCTCAGTCTACAGGTTTCCGTGTAGTGTTTTGTTTATGTTGTTTGTCTTGTTTTTTGTTGGGTTCGTGTTGCTCAGTCTACAGGTTTCCGTGTAGTGTTTTGTTTATATTGTTTGTCTTGTTTTTTGTTGGGTTCGTGTTGCTCAGTCTTCAGGTTTCCGTGTAGTGTTTTGTTTATGTTGTTTGTCTTGTTTTTTGTTGGGGTTCGTGTTGCTCAGTTTACAGGTTTCCGTGTAGTGGTTGGGGTTTGTGTTGCTCAGTCTACAGGTTTCCGTGTAGTGTTTTGTTTATGTTGTTTGTCTTGTTTTTTGTTATGTTCGTGTTGCTCAGTCTACAGGTTTCCGTGTAGTGTTTTGTTTATGTTGTTTGTCTTGTTTTTTGTTGGTGTTCGTGTTGCTCAGTCTACAGGTTTGCGTGTAGTGTTTTGTTTATGTTGTTTGTCTTGTTTTTTGTTGGTGTTCGTGTTGCTCAGTCTACAGGTTTCCGTGTAGTGTTTTGTTTATGTTGTTTGTCTTGTTTTTTGTTGGGTTCGTGTTGCTCAGTCTACAGGTTTCCGTGTAGTGTTTTGTTTATGTTGTTTTCTTGTTTTTTGTTGGGTTCGTGTTGCTCAGTCTACAGGTTTCCGTGTAGTGTTTTGTTTATGTTGTTTGTCTTGTTTTTTGTTGGGTTCGTGTTGCTCAGTCTACAGGTTTCCGTGTAGTGTTTTGTTGGGGTTCGTGTTGCTCAGTCTACAGGTTTCCGTGTAGTGTTTTGTTTATGTTGTTTGTCTTGTTTTTTGTTGGGTTCGTGTTGCTCAGTCTACAGGTTTCCGTGTAGTGTTTTGTTGGGGTTCGTGTTGCTCAGTCTACAGGTTTCCGTGTAGTGTTTTGTTTATGTTGTTTGTATTTTCGCTATTTTTTCTTTTAATTAATTGTGTTGTCTGTTTTATTGAACTTATACATTTGTATTGCCTCTTGTAATCTTCTATCTCTTTTTGTCGAATGTTATCAGTTTTAGAATCGTTTATTTGTAGACCTAAATTGCACTAGCTGTGAGTATTCTTGGTTTGATTCCCAGATCGCCTGTATAAATGAAGATAAAGTTCTTTCATCAACCATAGGAACACATGCTTGTACGACAGATGGTTATTGGAATGGGTATCATTCAGCAGAGGTTATCACATGGGAAAATTGTGAGTGTCAATAAATTTTAGTCATGCCATCAAATTGATCGTCACCATTAAAATATGTTTAAACTGTTAATTGACTTTATTTACGTAAATATTATTTATAACTACATGTACCATGGAATGCTCATTAAATTTTTTTGAAGAACAATGTGTGAGTTTCAAAGAATTATTTTGTCTGCATTATATTAAAACGCAAGCCCTCACCAAATGACATTTGTTAGTGTGAAACTTTATTCAGTTGACATGACATTTAGCATTTTCGCACATACATCTCATTTCAAACACAATATTATTACAACAAAATATTAACTATTTTCACAGCAGAAACAATCTATAATTGTTATATTGGTTTGTCATATTACCGAAATAATGTTACATGATTTATTCTCTTAACTTTTAGATGTGCACTCGTCGGTCTTTATACCAAATCAATAAATCTAATATTCTTACACTTACTACTTTGATCATGTTGATAATTCAAAAAATATATTTTTTTTTAACTTGGGAAGGCTTGTCATTAATGAAACTTATAATACTATTTATGTTAGAACGAACATACTCACCCTTTCTCGTCCAAGGGAAAATCAGTATTTTCCCTTCTATTTTTTATAGTACATGGCCTTCCATGCACTGTTTGATGAAGTTTTGTCATTATCAAAAACTATAAAAATTTAAAAAAGCTGATTTATATGACATTGTGTGATTTTTAAAATGAAGGAAGTTTAGATATATATCTTTGCATCGGCACTAAACACATTTATTTAAAAACCAGTTGTTGGCATGACACGGGTTATGTTCTTCTCATATATGTTATGATGGTATGATACTAAACCCCTAACGGGAAGGATTGGGCCTGATATTCATATGATGAAGACATAATCTTTCAATCAGTTTAATTGAAGTCTGGAGCTGGCATGTCAGTTAACTGCTAGTAGTCTGTTGTTATTTATGTATTATTGTCATTTTGTTTATTTTCTTTGGTTACATCTTCTGACATCAGACTCGGACTTCTCTTGAACTGAATTTTAATGTGCGTATTGTTATGCGTTTACTTTTCTACATTGGCTAGAGGTATAGGGGGAGGGTTGAGATCTCATAAACATGTTTAACCCCGCCGCATTTTTGCGCCTGTCCCAAGTCAGGAGCCTCTAGCCTTTGTTAGTCTTGTATTATTTTTAATTTTAGTTTCTTGTGTACAATTTGGAGTTTAGTATGGCGTTCATTATCACTGAACTAGTATATATATTTGTTTAGGGGCCAGCTGAAGGACGCCTCCGGGTGCGGGAATTTCTCGCTGCATTGAAGACCTGTTGGTGGCCTTCTGCTGTTGTCTGTTCTGTGGTCGGGTTGTTGTCTCTTTGACACATTCCCCATTTCCATTCTCAATTTTATAAGTATTAACTTATATATTTAGATATATAAGTATTAACTTGTACCTGAAACAGAAGAAATCTCAATTTTGAATAATTTATCCTTTGTTGTTATCACAAAGCTATATCATAGTTATATATTCCATCTGACCATGGAATATGATTTACATCCCTTTTACTATTCATGTTAACACTTAAAGTGGAACTTATATTAAGGTTTGATTATTACAAATGAGAGAGGCTGTTATGTCACTCGAAAGTGTGAATATGTTCTAAATTGGTCAGACAATACCTGGTCATGTTTTATGAACACTTAATACCCTCGGCTACGCCTCGGGCTTCAAATATTCTTAAAACATGACCAAGTATGATCTAATCTATACTAAGCTGAACTGATGTCTATTTACTGTTTCCAGGTAATTACTCAGCTCGGTTGAGTTTGCGAGGACTCGAGTAGTTACCTTTGATAAGATAGATAACACTAATTACATTATTTGACCAGCAATAATATAAATTGACATTTGAAAACAAAGTTTCTTATAACATGTATAAATATCAAATATACTTCATTTTAAATTTAAACAGTTTTTCTGGAAAGACATTCCTCAAGTAAAATATTTTATGAAGATCCTCGAGTCTTTTTTTAAAATTGCTAGTTTTAGCTTTTTATCGGGTTAGTAAAACATATCGATGCAGATATCTATAATTCTGTTATTTTACAAGCAACCGGGCCCAAAATACGTTTGAAAAAATAACATCTTATTAGATAAACTAATCCACCTAAATATCCTTTTCACGAATGACTAATGAATTTATACTTTTAATAAATATATGATAATGACAACAGTGTTAATTATTATAATAACAAATGAAACAGAGAAAAAAAATATGTCGTAAGACCATGAACATGATTAAGAAATTAAAAGAACGAATCCTTTTTTTATGTTGCGAAACGATAGCGTTCATATACAGAAATAGAAATGCTTAACTTCAAAATAAAAGGACGGCCATAAGGCACTGATAAAAATAAGCCATGTAAACCAAAAGAGATATTCAATCATATTGTCACATGACAATCAGAGAGTTAATCAGATATTAAACGATAGCACATCATTTTCAATGGACAATAAGATAAACAGTACCAATTTTACTTTATCAGATAAGCATTCGATGATTGATGTCTCTTCGGTGATTTTCTAGGCCAATACATTTAAAAATCGAAAGCCAAATGCAAAGTGCCCAAAAACACCAAACAAAATTAAAAGTAAAAATTAAAAAAAAAAATAACATTAGGAAAACCTAAGCTTAGGAATCTGATGTTCAGTAGTTGTCGTTTGTTGATGTGGTTCATAAGTGTTTCTCGTTTCTCGTTTTTATATAGATTAGACCGTTGGTTTTCCCGTTTGAATGGTTTTACACTAGTAATTTTGGGGGCCCTTTATAGCTTGCTGTTCGGTGTGAGCCAAGGCTCCGTGTTGAAGACGGTACTTTGACCTATATTGGTTTACTTTTATAAATGTTGACTTGGATGGAGAGTTGTCTCATTGGCACTCATACCACATCTTCTTATATCTATTAATCACGAAAACAGAGCCATTCATGCGAGAGACCCTAATTTTAAAACATATCAAGAGATGGAGATAATTCCATTTTACTAAATGAATCTCAAATTGTTAAGATAACTGAAAACGATCAGTTACCATACTTTCTTATTTAGTTTAACAGTGTAAAAAATACTCTGCATATGTATGCATTTTTTGTATGTCTTCAACAAATTCGATAGTCTGTGATAGTCTTGCTCAAACTCTTGCTTACGGCGCTGCAGTATAAAAAGTCCAACCACATATATTATAGTATGGTTTCATATATGTAGGTTAAGTACTTGACTTCAGTAATTGCGGTCACAATTATAAAATGCTATTATCATATACTTCAGTTAATAAAAAGTCCAATCCAGAACTCTGTCTAAGAATAGAGGTGTGGGGAACTGTATATAAACTTAAAGCTGGTAATTGTACTGACAAACTGCAACCTATATGTGGTAAGATTAATTCGCTAACCTTATGAGATAAAGAATGTGCATACATTTAACGAATTTTATATTCGAGCTTCACTGGTGTGTCTTTTGTAGACGAACGCACGTATGGCGTACTCAATGTCAAGTCTGATATCTATGAAGAGGTTATTATCGAATTTAAAAAAAAAATTCCGACAAAAAATGTGTCTCCACTTCATAACATGCGAAAAAAAACTATTTACACAACGAAGTCAAGTGTGAAGAGTCAAAGATTAACTATCCCCTTACCATATCAGGAAATCTCACCAACGCCTTTGTTTCATCTCATTTCAACATTAATTACTAGTGGGACAAATAGAATTACAGTGTCTGATAGTAGAAATAAAATTACTATAGTAGATATTTCTCAGAATATACATGTAAAAAAAATCGTTGAAAGAAGGATAGGGCTTAAATGATTGCAACCTTACACTGTAGGTATAGTGTCCAGCGGAGATCGTGTTTTTTTTCGAGTGAATCAGTCAACTTATTTCGACTGATATTACATGCGATCAGATCAATTTACTCCTATTTGCGCGTATATAATAGTTTTATTCATGACTGTTCATCTTATTCAAAATACTAAACATGTTTTGAGCACAAAGGACGCACAATTTCCTTGTAGTTCACTAAACATTCAGTGCTTTACATTGTCCGTGTTTTTTCGAGAACAACATTTAAAACGTCCGGGTTTTAAACAAATGGTCCAGGTTTTTCAGAGAAAATGTGAATAAGAAAGAAGGCATTCTTGAGCTTGAAAACTAACTTTTTCTAGTTTGTAACTGTAATTTATTGAAGGGCAATACTATATATTTCTAATAAGTAACAAAACATATTACTATGTTGATCAAATTTAACCCTTTTCAATTTAATGATAATTTTCTGTTCTGAAAACGTTTAACCATAACCTTGCAGTACTTAGATATATTAGAAATTTCTGGATTATTTGTAAAACTGTCTTTAGAACCGAGAACAGGGGACTCATAATCTTTATATTTTTTACAGTAAATAATAGTTTATGATTTATATATATTACAGTGGCGAAACCTGCAGTTTTAAAAATAGGGTTAAGAAAACAAATGGACATAAGTTATAAATTCAGTAAAATGCAATATACCACAAATATTCTACTAAGAGAGGCCTGGGACAGGCCAAGAGCCCCTTCCCCCAAAAATTCACTTAATCCGCCCCTGTACTATTTCCGATTGAATAAATTCGCCATACCCCCCACCCCCACCCCAATTGAATAAATTTTTAATTGAATGGAATATATAATAAACAATGAAATAAATAATCTATAAGCTTTAATATGATCCTTTTTGAAATAATTATAAGACAAATTTGTATACAATAACGTAAAACTCGTGTATCTGATTCATGTCTTTCGCAGAGTTCCGTAGACATACATTGGTAATTGTTATGTCTAGATAGAGATCCGTATTTTTCATTTTTAAAAGCACTCATCTGCTAACTGATTGAAAGGAAGCTATCATGGTGTTTTATTGCTGAGTTACCAAGTATATCAACATACGCTTAGTCGTACTGCTCATCACAGTGGTAGCATTTGAAAATTGTTCTTGTTTTCCATTCATAGAACGATACAAAAATTTATCATCAAGACAAATAATAAATGAAACATTTAGAATGTATTTTCTGTTAAAAAATACAGACACCCATATATCACATCCAATGTACGTTCTTGTCAATCCAACATTGTACTGCTTGATACTTTAGTCTTGGAAAACATGATTTATTTATTAGTTGTGACTGGCTTTGAACTACCTTTCAGTAACTGCGAGTACTCTTATATCGATACTTTGTATCTATTGTTTTTATGTTAGTTGTTTTGTTTGTGCTTCGTACCGATCTATTGAGTAAAGCCATTTGTAACTGAATTTTACAGTTTGTTCTTATTTTGTGCTGTAACACCACTGTCCAAAGTTATGGGGGAGGGTTAAGGGCTTATACACATGTTAAACCCCGTAACAATCTTTATATGCCTGTCCCAAGTCAAGCGCCTGTAATTCAGTGGTTGTCGTTGGTTCACAGTAACTTATATCTACTTTTATCTTCGTCATTTGAACTCTTGTGGATAGTTGTCTCACGTCTCCTTTTCATTATATATATGTCTGTGCTCACATTTATATTGTTTACAACACGTATATTTACTGTATGATATCTATATTTGGTTGAATTGACATCGATATACGTATGTTTGGATCGATACAACATGTGTACCTAGGCGTTGACTTGTTGGATAGTTCCACCATATTTACATGGGCTTGAACATGTTTGATCTACCCAAATATAACAATGCCGGTGTCCATGAAATTTATAAGATGTGGCAAACAATAATACAAATATACGATGCTTTTTACAATTGTACGTGTTACGTACTACAGTATTACCAAACTAGTTAAATGCATTGGTTTCGTGCTTTGAAAAGAACTTTATTTGAACCTTTTCATTGTTTTTTAAAACGTAATCGCACTGACATATAAAATTTTAAGCCATTGTAATTTTGTTTAATCACTCGATCAAAACCTGGACCGCACTCAAAATCCTGCTCTCGAAAAAACACAGACATATAGAAATGAATGTATACTAAAAATGTCCTTCTCAATCAAATAACAAGAATTATTGTAAAATGTCTGTATATCTAAGGATATTTAGATTCCAAATATACATTTCCAATGACATTTGCATTCATTTGGTACGTGTATAAAAATAGCTTTATTCTATATTTTGGAATAAAAGCATTGTACAGCTAAATTAAACTTTTAGAACACAAAATAATGTATGGGTGATGATTTCTTTTCATCATCAATACCAACTTATCTTGTATGATCTTGTATACTGTAAACCAACTTTTTTTCGCGGATAACTTATTTCGCGTTTAGCCCTTTCTAGCCATTTCGCGGCGATTTAATTTCGCGATTCTGAAATTTACTAGTTGCAGATAAATAAGGAAAAATCCAAGTTTTACATATTCGCGACTATTTATATTTGCGTTATTTTTCTTATCGCGAAAGTCGCGAAAATAAATCGCTCGCGAAAATAAGTTGGTTTACAGTATTAAGTTTAAGCATCTATTTCAGGTCTTGCAAAGAAAAGAAGTCTGTTTGTTTAGATTTTTCACATTCGAAAAAGTTGATCTAATCACTCGAAAAAACAGGATCCCAGTCGGACACTATACCTACTGTGCTTAGCCTAAAGTCTGTCATAATTAGTTATATTGTATGTTTTTACAAATATAAATGTACCTGTCTGAATGTTTCTGAATAAATCTATATAAGAAGACATCATGGAATCGAATAGGAAGATGATCATGACATGTTATTTAGTAAAACAAAAGCCTTATATGCAATATAGTATATGACAAGTTCTTGTTGGTTGGAAATTTATTTGTACTCTATAATATTTTCATCTAAGAAGGATATGGTAAATGCATTAACTAAAGTGTGTGTATGAAAAAAGTCTCAATTTTCATTAAATGTTTTCCTTGGTTTGTGTTGTTTTCGAATTTTAAGATCTAATTATAACAAAGACAAACAACTAATTATTGTAGAAGATTAGAAACTGCTTGCCTCACCATAGTTACTGAACCAGCTTCTCTAAATTAACAATATTATATTGAAATTGACAGGAAGAGCAACATATTGACAATTGTTCATATAGCATATTACATCGTCATTATCCTAGATTGCATTCTTAATATTACATTTTTCAGTGCTCAAAGACGAAGCTAGCAATACAAGTAAGTATTGAACTAACCAGGCACTACTGCTATTTTTCATCAACAAATAATTTATATTGTGACATAAAATTGCGCAATCGATTTACGTCATATACAAATAAGATTTTTATTAGAAAAAATGATGAATCCATTACAATTTTTGTTCCTTCACTTATTATTCACAAAAGTAGCGTCTGTCTTTATTTGTGTTAAATGATCATATTTCTTTTGTGATTTTTGTATATCGAATATTCATTCTATAATGCGCACAATGTTTAAATTTTGTACCAAAAACAATCATTTGTGCATTCCAGATGATATTTTATATGGATCAGTTGGTGGTATTCTAGGATTATTAGTTGTATTTGCAATTATTGTTATAGTGGCTATACTACGACAGTAAGTATTATTTGATGAATGTCTGGCAGTACAGTTAGCATTATATCATATTAAATAAGATGCTGATTATTTTATCAATATAACATTAAAATACATGTAAAGATGAAACTATGAATGAATAGATGAAACTCATGTTAACAGAAAAATTATGTATAATTACATGTAACTAATGATAGTAGGGTGTCCAGTCAACAAATTTGATCGATTTGGGTTAACGGAATAACACACGGCTATATTTTATATCATTAGAAAGAGGAGAACAAGCCTCGTCGAAATATTAATGTCGTCGTTGTCTACAATGGTCACGATTTTCTTAAATTTGGGTCAAAGGTCAAATCTAAAATTTCAAGGAAAACGTAGAGTCACGTATAGACAGCTGGCCACCCCTACATATTTGCGTTTATAGCAAAATAAATTCAAAAAATTCAAAGGATTATAACTATAGTTTCTATATTTAGGACTAATTTGATAATTTTATTGCCAAAATTGGTTCGAGATTGACATTTGTACTTATAGGGTGCACATTTACAATTTTCATTCAGCTGTTAAATAACAGTGACCTTGACCTTTTAAAAGTTCCAAAATCGGAATTTTTACATAAGATTCGATACAAGTGATCTTTAGAGATGTTTTTTAGATATTAACATTTATAAGTTGCTCCCCCAAAATGTAAAAAAAAAATGTTATTTTTTTCGTCTTTTGATAGAAGGTATTCGTCATGATTTTCTGGGTAAATATCCAATTTTCTTTTGGTGAACGTGGAAGCTCATCAAATAGTATATAGTTCCAAAACTGATGTATATTAACGCAGAATTGATTGAATTAGCAGGTCTGAGTATATATTTGCTTTACAGAAATAAAAAAAAATGCAAACGGTGAAAAAGGGGGAGGGTTTATGTTACAAGTTATGAAAACAAAATGAGAATTAGAAACAGCAGGCTAATCACTCCATCTTACACACTTATATCAAGTGTAATGTACATGACTTATCGAACATAAATTGGCCTATAATTGACATTCAGTTAAAGATTATCTACAAAAAGAAAGTTTTGTACAGCATCGATGTATTTTACAAACACTTGTAAACAACATCAATCTAATCAAAATATTGATCACTGATTTCGTTATCCTCATTTGAGCTTATATAAAAGAGCACGCGAGTTAATAAAGATCAGAATTTTAATAAGAGCGAAACAACATAGAAAAATTGCCGAAGCTAGTAGTAGCTATTACGTTTCATTGTCTACTGTTAAGTTAAAAGCCCACCGACTAGGTTTAGGTAAGAGAGCTAATTTCAGTTGTTCTTTTATAAATCGCACGCAAGTAGCAGAATACGAGGCATACAGAATACAATCTGATGGTTGTGGCGGCAACACCGTAAACTATTTGTATAGCTTTATATTTCAGAGGGCAGAGGAACTGGATGATTCATACTTTGTATATAGATACATTGTGTTACGAAGTTTTCGTCATATAATCATTATCCTTGACCTCATATTCATGGTTAAGTGACTGCTAAAAAACTGTATAGCTTTTTTCGTCATGTGAATGTCTCAATTATCATGAGTTCTAGGATAACTATATTTGGTTACTAATATACGGTATCCTTGCAAGGTCGACATGACCGTCAGACATGATTCACCTGACCTCGACCTTATTTCACGGATCAGTGAATAAGGTTAAGTACAGTCTTAGATAGTAGTGGGTTAAATATATTTGGTGTATGGAATGGTTACAAGATGTACATGATTTTGTGGGAGAGTTCATCTGACCTTACCTCCTTTACATGGAGCATTGATAGTGTTAATTTTATGTAATACTTTTTGTATAATATAAAAAATAGGAGATGTGGAAGCAAACAATTATAGGCAACCGTACGACCTTCGACAATGTGAAAAACTCATACCGTATGGTCGGCTATAAAAAGGCCAGTTATGAAAAAAAATGAAAGAATTCATTTGAAAAAAAAACTAACGGTCTGATTTATAACAAAAGCTAGTTTTTACGGTAATGATGTTTATGATCATACTTTTCTCAGACTATTGATGACGTCCTTTCATTTGTTTTCAGTAAGGGAACACCCATTTGATTTCGAAAACAGGGAGGGAATGAGGATTTTGAAAATGAATTACTTGGCCTAGTATGGACTGAAATAATTGACTTTGCACAAGACAGGATGAGAATGAACACTCTTCAACATGAAATGCAGTATAGTTGAGAATAAATTATGAATGTGTACAAAAGTGAAAATAAATTTTCGTGCCGCCAGCCCCATCTCTTTCTTCAGAATATAAAATGTTCTACCCTAACGGCGAGTACTATTATATCGGAACTTTGTGTTTTTTGTCTTCATGTTAGTTGTTTTTGTGCTTCATGCCGATTTGATAAGTCAAGCCATTTCAAACTGTTTTTCAGCAGATTTTTCTTATGCTGTGCTGTTATACCATTGTCTAGGTCAGGGGAGGGTTGAAGGATCACAAACATGTTTAACCCCTCCAAATTCTGTATATGTCTGTCCAAAATCAGGAGCCTGCAATTAGGTGGTTGTCGTTGGTTGCTGTCTGTTGTATCTGGTTTTTTGTTGTTGCACGAACGGTGGTATATATTTGTTGTCGTTCCCACCGAGAGGGATTTAGGTCGAAAAAATCATGCAAGAGTTTTGATGTGCCATATTCCGGGTGTGAAGCAAAACCGACCGATTTGATTCTTATACTACAATTATAACAAAAAATTTATTCAGTAAAAAGTTTAAAGTTTTGAAAAACAGACACAAAACAGATTTCTCCGAACAAAGTGGCAATCTACAAAGTTAGCTGGCTATTCACAACAAATAAATCAACCACACAACAAGCAAAAGAGACAAATGTTTTGAGTGACCTCTGTCCTTGTTAACGACCCAATAGTGTAAGCAACAAAATGATTAATGGCACGAGATAATCCGTGTTTAATCAATACCAAAATGTTGACTTAATTTGTGGTTTTAATTGCTAATTTCTTCAAAACGATTTTTATTTCACGGATGCAATTTGGCACACACATGCACTGTGCCTTATTGCTTAAATCAGAGTAAAAAATATTGTGATGATACACGTAATAATTTTGCTTTCGATGAAAATAGGGTAAATTTCGGGTAAAATTTTACTCTTACTAAAATGCTGAAATACTTATATCAAAATCACTTAAATACTTTCCGATTTCGTTGAATGATATAAATAATATATAAACTATATTATAGGTATTGTTTTAAGTATCAACAAAGAAGGCAATAATTTTATTTTTCATGTTGAAGATTCCCCGTACAATACGGTATCTGGTGGTACCCTGTAAAAACACGAAATTTAGAAAATCGTGACCACGGGAACTTACGACGACAATCATGATTGTAAAATATAATGATTTTCCTATAATGTGCAAAAAAATCAGCTGTGTGTTATCCGTTAACTTAAACTCGTTAACTAGAGGACTTTTTGGACATTGGGCACCCTACTATTTTGGTTTGTATATTTTGTGTCTTGTTCAGATTTTTTTAGTTTAGCCAATTGCATATTATTTTAACAGTTTGTTCTGATGTTGTCCTGTTTCAACACTGTCCAAGGTTAGGGTAGGGTTGGGCGCTCACAAACATGATTACAATGTAACCCCACCACATTCTGTATGTGCCTGTCCAGAGTTTGGAGCCTGTAGTTCAGTAAATGTCATTGTTTCATAAAATTGAGAATGGAAATGGGGAATGTGTCAAAGAGACAACAACCCGACCATAGAACAGACAACATGTCTGTCATATTTGCTCATCGTAAAATGATTTTTTTATAGATTAGACTTGTTTTTCTTTTTTGGATTGTTACACATTTGTCATGTCGGGGCCTTCTATAGCCGGTATTGGTTTTTCTTTCATTGATGAAGGCTGTACAGTTGCCTATAACTGCTTACATCCATTTCATTTATACTCTGGTGGTTAGTGTCTCATTGGCTATCATACCAGACCTCCTTTAATTTTCTATTGTAATATGTGACGCAAGACGAAGTTGAAGAGTATGGACAAAGAAGAACCTTAGTATTTCAAGTAATTCAATGTTAAACAAACAGTATCGACATTGTTTTTCCCCCGTCAATTTAAAATATTAGATGCACATGCAGTGTCTTCTCTTTTCTAAAAAACCTTTTGTGGAAAGTGTTTTATCTTAAAATGGCTGAACTAAATCATGTAAGAATAAGGAGATGAGGTATGATTGCCAATGAGACAACTATCCACCAAAGTTTAAATAAAGTGGATGTAAGCAATTATAGGCAACCATACCGTATAGTCGGCTATAAAAGGCCCCGACATGAAAAATTTGAAACAATTCAATTGAGAAAACCAACAATCTAATCTATAAAAAAATTTTTTTTACGATGAACAAATATGACAGACATGAACCAACGACAACTACTGATCTGCAGGCTCCTGACTTGGGACAGGCACATAAAGAATGTGGCGGGGTTAAACATGTTTGTGAGCGCTCAACCTTCCCCTAACCTGGGACAGTGGTGTAACAGCACAACATAAAAACAAGCTATAAAAATCAGTTGAAAAAGGCTAAACCCATATGTATATATCAGTGAGTTATTATAACCAAGAGAGACTTGTACATTTAGTGGTATTTAGTTTACGATGGGAAATCGTGTCTTCTTACTCTTCTAATGACATTAAGAAAATAAATCTTTCAATTTTACATCTTCATGATTTGAATATTCTAATATAACCTTAGTTCACCCCCATGTTTGTGTGGGGTTCATGTTGCTCAGTCATTAGTTTTCTAAGTACTATTTTGAACTTGTTAGTATTTTCGTCATGTTTCAATATATGCAATGGCATTGTCATTTTATCTCGGTTTATGAGAAACGGGTGCCACATATGGAGCAGGATCTGAGAAGCGAAAGAAAACAAGGGGACAATCAAACTAATAAGGCGAAAATAAACTCACAACGCCATGGCAAAAAGCGAAAACGAAAAAAAAAAAAAAAAAAAAAAAAAAATAAACAACAATATACAAAACACATCCAAGTTAAGAAAACTAAAGACTGAGCAACATGAACCCAACATTTTTTATTATTAGTTAACAATCAGATATTTTATTTTGTTTTCAGTAAATCAAAGATACCAAAGACTTCACAGAAACGACCCGGGTACTATTCAGAACCAACTGTGCCGACTACTTCTAAAGAGACACATTCATTAGTTAACGTCACCGAAGAGGGTGTTTATAACCACTTAGGTGATACACATGAGAAATTTGCCTCGAAGACTTCAAGCCCTGTGTATGACGTGTTTGGTCATGCGGATGTTGAATATGACGTCAGCATAACAAATGACAGGCGTCAGGAAAACATTGGAAATCTCTATGACTCCTCGCGTGCTGTCGATGTGTATGATACAACACACGACCAAGAGATTAAAAAACGGCCCGAATCAGACACATATAACATAGTTAGCACACGGTGATTTAAATGAATAATTATTAATTGAATTTTAAACAAGTTTCTTTAGAAATTTAATTCATATAGGAGTGAAAGTGACGATTTATCTTAAATGACAGCGATCAGATGCATATATACGATGAAATATGTCAAGGTGGTAATTATTCTACTAGCTTGCTTTGAATAAGAAAAATGTCGTATCTGATACATTCAAAGAAAAAAGGTGTTTTAATAATTAGACCATAATCATTTTAATATTAGTAACAAGTATAAACTTATTGAGATACCAAGACAATTTTGTTAAAGTTATGAATATTGCCATTTTAGGTTTTTTTCTAACAATCAGTTTAATACAAAGCACCTTCATCTTCTGAATTTAAGAAATAATTCATGTGGCCTTAAATTTATACTGATTTTACCACAAGTTGGCCCATTGTGCTAAATATTTTACCGCGAGCGAAAGCGAGTGGTAAAATATCGATATAAAGGACAAAACCGTGGTAAAATCAAGATAAATTAAAGCCTCCATGAATAATTTCTATTCTAATAGGACAAGTACGGCAATTCTTTTGGATCGAAGCGCTCTAGGTGAAGGGAAACATTTACCGTTTCCATAATTAAATACATTATTAATATTGACGTAAATGACAAACAAAACTACACTAGTCACATTATTAAACTATTTACAGTAACATACTTAGATATGTTTGGACAAAATTAAATGATTATCTGACTTTTATTATAAAAAAAATGGTTTTTAACAAATGTTATCATTGTTTGTTAATGTTTCCTTGCTTTGATGACTTTCAGTTTCACAATCGTGCATTGTATCATTGGCACTCATACCACATCTTCTTATTTCTATTTTCCCGTAAGATGTATATATTCTTACGCCATCGTTCAATGACGTCATTTACACCGACTTACCTCGGGTAGCTTATTCATAATAAAACATATGATGTGGGAGTATTATCGGAACAGCTCAAACAAATTATGACGTTGCCAATCAGCTAACATACAATATATTCGTATTTTACCATGGCAGTGTACTCAACGCGATTGAAGAACGTCAAATTAGAAATGGGAATATACCATGCAATATATGAATTTGTTATTTGCTTTAACAGCTTTTTGTTAAAAGAAACCGATTTTGTATGATGTGTTTTCAGAGACATTGTGTGTTTAAAGATGAAAAAAGCAGCATTTTTGTTTTAAAATCAAATATATAAACGTATTGCGATAGAAGGAAATACCAAGAGGATTTTGTTGAAGTAACCACTTTGCTAGATTCCTAATTCGGCCTGTTGGAATCCAGTTTTGAATTTTAATGAATTTTTACAGAGGATGACCTTGAGGTAACTCCGATGTATTGCTATCGCCTAAATTTCCATTATGCAAATTAGTTTTGGGATTTCAACCGATCTATAAAAATTATAGATCCGCGGTCATTACAAGGGAAAAAAGTGCATTTTTATACCTGCGATTCCGTTCTCCGTTCGTACGATGTTTCATCAAAAAATGGAATCATTTCAGTTGTTGATTTAGTACTGAAAATTTGACTGAATTATCTCCTTACTAAATACGGTTTTATATGTTTAATAGGTGTTTAAGAAAGATGTCAGGTGCTCATGTTCATTCATAAAATTATCGTTCATTCATGAATTTATCGTAAAATCAAAATCACTACACAGGTCACACAGGTTGTATACGTAGTGTCAAAAGATTACCTGTATAGTATCTGTTCTGTTCTGGTATATTCCTCCGTTTTATCGGAGCACTCCACTTATCGAATGAGTATTAAAATTTTAAATACTTAACCGAAAAAGCGGATATTTTTATATTTACGATATGAAAAATATAATTTTAAAATTAAATTAGTTAGTTAAAGTGAATATAATAAAAGTTTATAATGTCTTTGATGATATTTTAAAAGATATTAATACAAAAAAAAAAATAATATTATTCACACGTTACAAATTACGGCACTTTGATTCACCAATATGAATAAATAAAAATTTTACAACCTAACGATTTCTAGTCAATAGGTGCCCTGCCAAGGCAAATGTTAAAATTATATAGCAATACTAGTATCTAAAAATAGACAAACTTAACTGACTCCCCTTACTGTAGTGTGTGATAACATTTTGTGAGGGAATTCGATGTTTGCTATACCACTGTTCATTTCAACGCACTTTATGACGATACCACTTTATCAATATGAATGAAATTTTTTGCAGTGTTTTAAGAAATAATTTTACTTTAAAATCGCGTATCATTTGTGAACTATTAAATGTTTTACAAGGACGAATTTTCTGTATAAAGTCAATAATTGTGTGAACTTTTGAAGCCCAAACTTTTTATAGCCTTAAATACGCTAATGAAAGATCCGAAAACTATACCCATACAGAACGACATGTTTTTGAAATTGTAGCAAAACTTTTGGTTGACAAATTTTAATTCGTTATTGCATAAATATTAACTTGAAATATCTGTCATTTTCTCCCTACCCAGTTTACCTCTATTACTCATTATGATGTGGACTTGACATTGTTATTGAATCTTATGCAATTTGATTGGATTAAGTTATTATTCGATTACCTTCAAACTGTTCATGCTTTTTCGTACGAGTATATTGATTAAATCAGAGCGTGCATGAATGTGTACAGAAAATTAAATGACCTGCAAACTGGACACTGGGCCAGTCCATATTACGTTTTATCAATGAATAGATTTTTTTTTTATTTCCCAAATTACAGGGCCCATAAAGGGCATAAAATCAGATACAATTGATTTACATAATTGGTAACAACAACAATAATAGCGGCATATAAATAGATATTTAGTATATAAGCATTGGTCAGAATCAGATGAACGAAACTTAAGGTATGAAAGGTAACAATTGCCACTTTTTATCTTTTTACATAATTTTCCACATACACATTAGATAAATTATTTTTGATAGCCTATTGCGGAGAAAAAAGAGAAAGTTTACTGTATTAACGTTCTATTCCATTAAATACGCCATTTTTCGAAGATAAATGCAGAAAAACATTTATGAACGGCTACGCCAGGTAAAATTGTTGTTTATCCTAAAAAAAAAATACAATTTTCAGTTTCATTAGAATATTATAATAATATCCCAAATTTATGTAGTCATTAGATAAAGTCATTATATGTCCGATCTGCCTATATTTGGCATTCAAAAGACAATACGATCGTTTTAAGGTCAATTTCGTCTACCTCACACAATCTTGTTAGGCACTATAATGAAATGGACCTGAAATTTATTTCACATGTTTCCTAAAAATTGATAAATATCAAAGCAACATAGAGCTGTTTGTTCTAGTTCGTATAATGACAATTTAATGTCATGTTGTTTGTGATGACCCCCCTTTTCGGGATTGCATCAGCATTATAGTTATCTCGTATTGCATGAGGATGACACATGTCAACTGAGCAATTATGTTTGGGACTTAGTTTTAAGAAATGATGTCAAAGTAACATTATGAAAATATTTTTAGTAAGCTGAAATATATATTTATTTTTTACATGTTTATGTCTCCTTGTAAAATATAAAGCATATTTAAAATGATTTCCTGCTAAAGTCTGATATTGATATAAAGTTAAAACCGTCTTGCTTCTCACTAGTCAACACTCCTGTCCTGTCAGGTTTAATTCTTATATATATGGATGAAAAATAAAAGTCCACAAAACATTAACATGGCAGCTATTGCTTTTACAGCCTTTAAGACTTTGATTTTTTTTACAGAAGAGTGTCCACCATGCACTTGCATTACACTATAATAATAGTAGAATAGTATGATATACAAATAGACATGCAACCGTAATATTAATATAATATATAACAACAAACCAGTGTATTCTCTGGAACTATTAATATATTAGTATAATAGTCTAAGGTATACTGATTTGTATCTCTACAATATAATAGTTATTACGGTGAGGTTGAATTTCCTGTCATTTATTCATCATCCAAGCACGAACTTGTATAAGAAAAAAAAATCTCTGTAAATTAACCTCAGTTTCAGGTATAGAGATGTGATCTGTTTCTGTGACATGTGCTTTTGACCATCCACAAGAACCTGCGGTCATCCGATGTTCAGTACTTCAGTACTTTGATTAAGGGTTGTCAACTCAATTTTTGACGACTGAGTTTGTATGATTTTAGTTATAAACACACAATCACATATGGGCTAATTGAACAATTCAGTTTAAAGTTTTTTACAATCTTTTATTATATAGATGATGGTGATATAAATGAATTTCCCATTGAAATGCATTGTGATAATCTCACGTGTGAAATAACTCGTTAATCTTCACTCTCAAGACTTACCTTGGTTTTACCGGACCCTCTCTTAAGACATCAAACTGAAGATATGCGCCTTTGTCTTACTTAAAACTAATATTTCATGTTTTTGATTTGATATCAATAACAAATCTTCTTTCCCATAAGTTAAAAAAACAGAGGGCAAAGATGAACAGTAGTTAAACAGTAGTTAAACACTGATAATGGGAGATCTTAACTCACGCACTCGTCTAGTGAAAACCCTGATTATATAGAACATTACTCATCAAATATCAATGATTTTAATTGCTTGTATGTACTATCCTTGAAACCACAAAGAAAGATTGCACAAAAAAATAAAAATAAAAGATAAATACATTAGAATATATGACAAACAAAACTAAAAATAATCAATGAAGATAAAGTCATTCATAAGTATGGCATATCATTCTTATGTTTATGAGCATTATTTAGTACTTTTGATTAGTAGAAGTTCAAGAGAATATCCTGTACTAAGTAAAATATTTTAAGTCGTGTTAGGACTGATTTAATTCTGACATACATGTATCTTATCACTAGTGATATATCAATAGAACCTGGTTATAAGTGGTCAACATTTATCAATTGGACGGAAAACTCTGAAAAAGCAATTGCGTGATAATAATTTATGATGTAATACCACCAAATCATAGTACGTCACATCCGGTTGAATACGAAAAAGGGTCGAAAAAATATTCCCTTGAATTTGACAGTTGTAGGAAATTCATCCTACATTTCATTGCAGTAAAACATTTTTGAGTCATAAACATATATCTTGGGTGTTTCAAAGCACTATTATTTTTTTATTTGGTGTTTCTATAGAATATTTTGGAAACTTGAGGTTACATGATTTACTAAAGTTTGTACCCAGGAAAATAAGTGGTGAAAATTTTTGGTTAACTTCCAGTGATAATTATTTTCTTAATATATGAAATGAAATGTGATGGGAAATTTTGTCTATAGTACTGGACCGGATAAAACTTTACTCATGTCAAGTATATCTTTATTTTAAACAAAGATAAATTCTGCACAATTTTTTATGGGAAGCTGCACATGCACCTTTGACCATGTGTGTTATCTCATTTGTTAAAATTCCATGCTATTTAAGTGAAATAATACAAAAATGAGTTGATTGAGTCTCAAAAACACATTTTATGAGAAAATTGCCTAGAAAAAGGACTCTATATAGATATAAGAAGATGTGGTATGAGTGCCAATGAGACAACTCTCCATCCAAGTCAAAATTTATAAAAGTAAACCATTATAGGTCAAAGTACGGTCTTCAACACGGAGCATTGGCTCACACCGAACAGCAAGATATAAAGAGCTCCAAAAATTACTAGTGTAAAACCATTTAAACGGGAAAACCAACGGTCTAATCTATATAAAAAACGAGAAACGAAAAACACTTATGAACCACATAAACAAACGAC